GCAGCTGATCGTGGTCTAGTAAATGGCATTGCAGAATGTGGAAATTGTTTTGGCTTTATAGGAGTGACAAGCATATGTTCTGTCCATGATGTTTCCAAAGACGGTCTCTCTAATTGTTCAAGTTCGACATTTAAAGTTTTTTGTTCAAAAGGCACAATAAAAGTTTCAGCTGGAATGCTTTGAAGCCATGACATCAAACTAAGATCTGTATCTCTATAACCTTCCGATCCATTAAATATATGTGAAAAATTTAAAACGTTAGGTCCAAAAGGTTGATTACTTCCAACTGCTTTTGATTTACAAAAATTACAACACGATTCATAAAGCATTCCTTTAATAATTAACTGAATAAGTCTGTCATTTATTGCATCTGGCATAACAGGTTTTTTGTCACAAGGTAAAAATTTCATTACAAGAGGATAAACTTGTTGAAAGCATTGTACTCTTGCTGTACTAGGATTCCAATCTTTATAGCCTAAATTATCGGATAGTCTTGGTAATGTTAACATTAAACACAGATTAGAATATTCCTCTTTAGTAGGGCATACTTTTTCTAACTCATTTAAAACTTTAACTACCTCTTCTACTGCAGTATCTACACTTCCAATCACAGTTGCTTCTGATTTCATACATATCAGTTCGGCATATTTATGTCTAAGGATACAATACCTAAATTTATTGGTAGGAAAAGTTGGTATAGCTTCCAATGGTTGAATGAATTCAAGCACGTCATCCCATTGACCGTCCAAAATAAGTTGACGAAGAAACAACGTATCATCTGAATAACTTCCATTTATAACACCAGTTTCACGTTCTACGCTTAATTGAGATATATGAAGTTCGCGATTATGCAAAAACTCCAAAGTTAATTTAATAATATCTTCTTCCCGTACAGAAATCTTTGCAGTTGGCATCACGTAACATATACGCAATCTAGAAATAATAAAACATTTTTATTTAACAACAAAATATTAATTTAATTTACTAAGAGTGAACAGGTTAAAGTAAGGAAACAAACAACACTGCCAGACAATTATACAAAAATAGTAAAGGAGTGCTCTCGCCGACACTCCTTTCCTGTTGGTTTATTTTAGTACACCAACAAATATACCCTTGCTATAATTGACATGTTTCATAAAGACGCATATAGTTCAAATGAATAATTAATAACAAAAAAAAAAAAAAAAGAAACTCAATATAAAATAATTTACAAACCTAAATAACTTTAAAGCATTTAATTGATTCATTCACTAAACACAATATCACTGTACATACTTTTAATTTAAATACATTTTTAGTAAAACAAACTTTAAACATAGAAAGATTACAAGACACTGAGTAATATATTCTTAAAATAAACTAGAGAAAAAGAAAAAATTACAGTGCGCAAGTTCGTTTTAATAGTTATGTTTATCCTGAAACTTTTGGACATTGAAAAATATTAGATAGAGGGTTGTAACATGAAAGTTTTATTCTAGAGTAATTCAAAAAGACACATGACAATGTTTCTCTAGAGAATAATGGACTGTTACAACAACATTTGTATCTGTATACATGTTATAAATAATGTAATGTAATACACTTGTAGTAAGTAGGTAAATAAAATAGAATGCTCTTAAGCAAATTAAAATGTGTATAGAGTCTGTAGACCCTTATAATACATTTGTATATAAATTAATATCTAATTTCGGAAAGTTTAACACAATACTAGATGTAATAAAAATATATATGTATTTACAAACCTTGAAATAAATTTTCTATGCATATTTTTTAAAAGTATATTGAAATAAATTACATTTTAAACAACTGTTATCATTACCAATACATCAAATAATTTTTAAATGTTTAACGAAAAGGAAAAAAATATAATTTATTGCGGTCAGTTATCGTCTGATACTAAAACTAAACTAATTTCTTTAAAATAAGTGTTGTTTAAAAAAAAAAATGTTCCAGTTCCTATTTTATGCTTAATTTATAAACAACTTATATACAGGATGTACAATGTACGATACAACACATGTATAAAAGTGAAGTAATCCATTAAAAACTAGAAATGTAATAAAATATATAATACCTACGGTTTGAATTTTATACATTATTTTAGTTATTTTGTTTATTGTTAATAAATTATATGCATTATAACCCCTAAAATATCATATTTTTAATTTTCATAAACATTTATCTTTTTAAAAATTATCATGGTTAAAATAAATATAAACTATTAAAAATGTTCAATGTATTACATTATACTTAATTCAATAAATAAGTTACTAATTATTATTTATAGTAAAAATGATATTTTTGGACATAAAATAAAACTAGTTTGTTTATGATTATTTTATAGAGTTGATATCAAGACTTAAAAACACCCTATATAATACTGGATCTTCAGCATTAATAATTATACATATGTTTAAATAATTGTATATGCAACACCGTAAAAAATATAGCCTATAGGTAAACTACATTGCTTATAAGTTATAAGTTATAACCTACTTATAAGAGACTAGTTCACAAACAAATTATTAATGTATTGAAGTCCATTGGTTTTTTAGTCACTTCATAAATATAAAGCAGATAAATATTATTACTGTAATAGTGATTATCATAAAACCGCATTCAACTTTAAAAAACAAATAAAAAGTGTTTAATAGAACTTTGAATTATGATAAAAAATAAAAAAGTAAGTTTTAAAGAAAAGAAATAAAATATTAGTTCTACAACACATCAAATTTTTTTATAATTAATTATTATTTTTTTTTAATTAAATTAAACTTAAAATTAATTTAAACACATAAAATTTTTCATGGAAGACATTATACAATAAATAATTTATATTTGCTCCTTGATATTAAAAAAAGTCAATCAAATACCAAAATGAAACCCACAAAGTTATAATGTAAATAAATACAACAATTGGCTTATTAAAATCCAATAAACTTTTTACAAATCTTTTTTATAACAATCATGAATACCTTTTTTTTTTTTTTTTAATTAAATAATTATATAATTTCTTTAAGTGGCTTTAAATCTAATGGACCCATGAATAGATGTATCTAATTGCTTTATCTATTTAAAATGAAGGTCATGTAATAAACATTTGTGAGCATCATATTTAATAGATAGTCACTATATGTCCCATCTTTTCTACATATATTTTCCCACCTTTTATTCTAATTTCTAATGACTACCTACTCAAATATAGATAATTAATTGATATTCAAATTTAAAATTAATTTATCTTAATAAACAACAGTAAAGAGATGATTTTTATAAAATTTCTTAAAATTACAACTATATTTAATTGGTATAACTTCCCTATTTTTTTTTAATATTCAAACATAAATTAATTATTTTATTAAAAATGCAGTCATTGTTTAAATTTAATTTAGTAATTTTTATTATTTTTATTTAATTATATTATTTAGGATAAAGTTATGAGGTAAACAAACAATTACATAGGTAAATTAAATATAATTATCACCATTATTATTACCAATTATTTAAAAGTTTAAAACAGTATACAAAATTATAGATTTATTTAAAACCATTCTTCCATTATATCATTGAATGGTAAATAACCAATTGTAGTTCAAATATTTCATTATTTATAAACAATGTTTTAAAATTTTCAATGGCAAAAGTTAATTAAATTAACTGTATTTATAATATAATAGACAATATATAAATACTTAATAATATATTAGATTATATAAATTGTAATATAAATACTGTCTAACTAACTCGATAATCATTGCACTTGTTACCTACCTATATAAAATATAAATACTAATAGTCATAATTTCTTAATTAAAATGTAATAACAGTGCATTAAAGAAATTAAATTTGATTTTTAAATAATGTAAGAATATGAGCAGTATAGAAAAACATCTATAAGTAGTTATAAATGTCATAAATTGTTTTAAAACATAATTTCATTTTTAGTTTCAAAAAAACTATAAAAAATATAAAATCAATAGAGTATAAAAATTATAAAATTAATAGAGTATAAAAATTATATAAACAACATAGTTAGTAGTACATTAATTATTCCTAACTAACTTATTTTTTCATTTAAATGGTAAAATAGAAACAAAATATTATATTTGTATAACAATAAATAGGTATTAGAAAGAAAGGTATGTATTAGGTTTTACTATCTATTGACATAATAAATGAGTAAATAAATACCTATATATATATATTCATGAAATATAAAAGGCTGGTGAGGTAAAATAAAAATAAAAAAAAAACTCAATGTTTATTCAATAAATCAAATATGCTGTGTTGTTGTATTACTGTGTAAATACAATGTATATTTTTTTACAAGGGAGAATATCAATCACAATAATTTATGTTCAATAGTTGTGTTATAAAGTATTATTTTTCAATTTTATAAAATATTTAAGCACCTAGTTGGATAGCACAATAATTCAATACACTTGACAGTTTGCACACACACATGCATATTCATTATTCTCACGAAAATTACACTACAAATTGACTACAAATTAACAACGTACCGTTAATAAAATAATTGTTGACGAGTAGAATCTATGCGTAGGTAATGCCAGACAAGAGGTCAATAAACTGCCATAATTATTTATTATCCGCAAGACAAATCGGTCGGCAAAACTCGGGGCTTTGTAAGCACGACGGACGTTCCCAAACCGCGGCCGTAGGAATTCGCGATCTTGAAATACCGACAAATTTAAATCCGAAATCGTTATTGAGTAATATTAATGGAACGCCTACTCATTCGAATGTACGAAAAAAAAAAAATAATAATAAACTCAACATCAACAAATAACAATATTACCAGTTATCACGATCGGAATGTGATAACAACTATCGAGTTGAATCAGCTGCCTCTAGATAGTCGATAGCGATAAAAAATATTGACTCTGGGACTCGGGTAAAAACGTATAATAAACAAAAAACGACTTCAGCCGACTACAAGTTATCGTCGTTATCTATACGATTTGAGCACCATGGTGTGTTTATAAGAATTATGTTTCGGTCCGTGTCTGCGCACATCAACAGTAACAGCAGCTCTACACTTTACACTTTACACTTTTACAGCTCTCGTCAGTTCACATCGAAGACTATGAATCGTAGAACGCTATAGATTATTCCATAGATATTTTAATTAAAAAAATGGACCAAAAACAGCGCCTAAAGACCCAAATGCATTTATGAATGTATTGCTATGCTTTGAAATTATTTCAACTTTGATTATGATATTAGTTTATGCGAGTCGTGTTCCTTACGTCACGCGCCCACACAAAGTTATAATCATACCATTTCATTTGGTTATCAGGAAATCTATGTAAGTGTGTCTCGTGAAGAATGACATGGCTCATGAGATGAATTCCGTTTTAACGATTTATTTTTGTTCAAAAACTTTGAAACTTCCAATTTTCTCCAAAGCTTAAGGATGTCTTTGATATAGGACGTAGACACAGCTTAATTAAATTTATAGTTATTTCAATTATTTGTTTCATATAGATTATTAATGGTTTTAAAATTGAACTATTTTTATCGTCGTTTTATGTTAATCATCCAGTATTAAAGAGTAATAAGTAATTAATGAAAATATTTTAATATTAATTCAAACTCTATAGGGCTTACTTTTCTTAATACTGACCAAAGTGTTTTTCTTCATTTTTTTTTATTTTACAGATTGTTAAATTATGGCTTCTGTTAAAAGCAATGCTTGTGATTCTGTGAGAGTTGGCCGAAAAGTGAGTGTTGGTGCATACACTGGATTTGCTCGATATGTCGGTCCGATTCCTGGAACAGAAGATATTTGGGTGGGAGTCGAATGGGATGATCCAAACAGAGGTAAACATGATGGAATTCATGACGGCATCAGATATTTTAAAACCTTGTAAGTATATACAGCTAAGTGTTTTAATTTCAAATCAATTAATTAAAATGTGTCAATTTTAGACATCCTAATGGGGCATCATTTGTACGTTTAGAAAAAGTGATACCTAATAGCATTAGTTTTATAACTGCTTTTCGAAGTAAATATGGCCAAGATTTTGATGATAATGTTCATCAGGAGATAATGGCATTGATGAAACAGTCTAAAATGGCATCTTTTGAACTAGTTGGAATGCAAAAAATTCAGAAAAAGCAAGCGTAAGTTTTTCATTTTTTTGTCCATCAGTTATTCGTTTTATTACTCACGCACAATATTTTACTGTTTAGATGTTTTGATAAGTTAATTGATGTAAGTCTAAGTCATCATGGTATAACGGATGCTGGCGAACCAGATGAAATACAAGATTGTTGTCCAAATATTGAGAATTTAGAGCTTTGTAATAATTGTTTTACTGATTGGGAAACAGTATCAGAAATAACTCGACAATTAAAACATTTAACAACCTTAAATTTAAGGTAATTGAGTAATCTGTTATGTTAACTTTGTTGTACAATCCATTTTGATATAACATATTTTTAGCTTTAACACTATTGATTTACCAAAAGAAATAAATCCGCACTTCAAGGAATGTTTTAAATGCTTGAAGAAAATTATTTTAGGTAAACTCAATTACAGCTGGCATGAAATCATGACTTTATCTGAAGCATTTCCAGTTCTTGAAATGTTAGAGGTATACATATAGAGTTAATTAAAAATTAAACTGTATTGTTAATATAACTCATTTTAAACCGTTTAAAGGTCCCAGATAACAATATCGATAGACTTGAAAGACCTTCAGTGGCCATGGAGAATATTTTGTACTTGAACCTGGAAAATAATAGTTTATCATGGCAAGAAATCAATAAATTGCGTTTTTTACCAAAGTAATAACTAATACCTATCAATCATTATTAAAATAATAAAAAATATATTTTACCAACTGTTTTAAATTATCAGATTAGAATGTTTAAATGTCAATCGAAATGGGATAAAAGATATTCAAATTGTACCATCATCGTTTCCTTCACTTAAATTTCTGATGATCAGTGACAATGACTTATTATATGTAAGACAGATTTCCACGTTTATTATTTATTTATTTATTTCTTAAATTTATATAAAAAAAAAAAAAAAAATGTTTTTTATTTAAGTTTGAATCATTGTGTGAGCTTAATAAACTACCAACGTTATGTTCTTTAAGAATTCAAAATAATCCTCTACTTAAAGGAATGAGTGTTAGCAATTACACTTTACAAATAATAGCAAGAATTGCTAATTTAACGGTAAACTAATGTATAAGTCTTTATCGAACTAAACTATATTAGACTATATTTTAAACTTTATATTATTTTGAAATTAATGATTAATTTAGATGTTAAATGGAACCATGATTACACTTAAAGAACGACAAAATAATGAAAGAGATTTCTTAAAAGATTTGGACATGATTTGGCATAGACAATTAAAAAGTGCAGAAGAAAGAGCTGAATTCTTAACCAAACACCCGAGATATATGGAACTCATTGCTAGTAAATAATCAATTTACTATTTTATTTCATATCAAATGTTTACAATATAATTCTTATTTAGAATATGGTTCTGATTATTCGGAAGACCTGAACACATCAAACAAAATAAAGACAATAAAAGTAAGAATTGTAAACTTTTGTAAAGAATCGAATACAGAAAAGGATGTAATAATAAAAACACTTCCAATTACTATGACTCTTAATCGTTTCAAAGATCTTGGAAAACGTTTATTTGGTCTAGGCAACAGGCAACTTGAATTTTCATACGTAACAAAAGAGGTAAATTTAAATTGTAGTTAACTAAAAATTATTATTACTACTATATACTACTGTTTTTCTTAAACATTTGCCCTTCACTATCAGTTATACATTGTATCCTTGTCCTATATTTCCGAAAAGCTTTGTTCCCTCCTCTTTCTTACTTACACAAGCTATTTTTATGTCATTCTCTATTCTTTATCTTCTTTACCTTCTCTTTTTGCCTAAATTAATTTCCTTAGCCACTCTCACAGCCTCCACGCAACCTCTCCTGATATCTTGACCGAATTATTTAAACTTATTTTCCTGCACTTATCTATAGACTATACTTGGTGCCATTTCTAAATAGTATAGACCACTTCTATTGAATTAATTTCTTATTTTATCTTTAGAGCCATTCCGCTTAATCTAACTTTGCATTCTTATTTTTATTACACGCATCCTCTATTCTGTTTTATTATTCACCGCAGAACATTATTGTTAAACATACAACATAAAGCTGGCCTCACAACTGTTTTATATTTTAAAAACATATGATTTAATATAAATGTAAAATATATCAGCTAATAAATACACGTTTAATATTATGTATTGCATAAAATGTCTGATATTATTCTTGAGAGTAACACTGATCTAAATAAAACATTCTCTTCTCAACAAATATATTTATAATTTATATTGTTATTAACAACATAATCTAATTATTATACTTGTATACTTCTTATTTTTTAGAAACCGGATATTGAATATCCCATGGAAAACATGAATCAAACATTAGACTATTATTCTGTTGAAGATGGAAACACAGTACTAATTAAATGGTGAAAATAATAATGCAGTCTTAATTTTTAATCATTAATTTATTATTTGTATTTTTAAATACTTGTTTTTTGTACTTTTAACAATATTATAATATTGTGTCTCTGTTTATCAAATTAAAAAAAAAAATTTGTATATAAAATTTATTAAAAAAAAAAAAAAAAAAAATTGGAACATATTACGTTGTAGTATTTGTGATATTTAAAGGCGTTACAGTATTATGTAATCTAGATATGGCAGCTTGTACCATTCGTTGCAAAACCGCATCTTCGCATGTTACTTCCTGTAAAAACAAATACACATCTAAAGTAAAATCAATTCAAAATAACATTAAAACAAACATACCAAATTTTTTAAATTAATATTAGCTTTTTTCCCATCAACAGCAACAAACAACTTTTCACCTTTAAATATTTTTGGCACAGATTCTTCACCAAACATCTCTTGTAAGATTTCAATCAAACATTCCTAAAAATGTGTTTTTTGTTTAATATTATTTAATTTAAAAATATTTATTAAGCGTAATGAATAAATGTTTACTTTGAAATGCATCTGGTCATACTCAGTAAATGGAACTGATGCCACATTTTTCATATCCCCTTGACTCATCGACTGAATTTTCATCAACACTTGTACAACAATATCTGCATACATATCGTTTTCAGGAGTAGTCGTCCATTCTAGGGTGGCAAAATTTTTATCTATGGAGACATCCACTGAGTTTAATACTCTTAACTTTTTATTTGGAATTATTATTTCAGGTACACTGCCAGTCAAATGGGACAACATATTTTGTAATACTGTAAATGATGATGTAAATCTGTGAAGTTGTTTTTGTTGAATTTCGCTTAACAACATATCGGAATATCCTTTAAAAAGAAAACATAAAAAAATTATTATCCATCTTAAATTAGTGATGATAAAAATAATAATCAATGTAAGTGTCACTAGAATAACATCTAAAAATATTAATGTCCATAATACAGAGATATAATTTTCAACTTTTATAAGTTTTTTTGATACAACTTTTCTTTAAATATAATAGTATTTAAAGTAATTTTTAAATTACTCATTTAATAATTGTGTATTTATGAAATAACCAATAATAAACACAAAAAATTAACTTTAAAATATATATCTTCCTAAACTAGCTTAAACATTTTACCAACAAGCTTAAAATAGAAGAGGTGGAGAAATGTATAAAATATAAAAATTAATTAATTTTATGGATATCGTCAATGTTACTTATAAATTATAATTATTTTTATCACTCCACCAATGTGTTTAATAAAATGTATTTCTCTACTACCAGACAATTTTTCACCATACTTAAAATATTATTAAATGTTCAACAAAAAATAAAAAAATTAAAATTTTATTTTTTATATCAAATTTACTTAATACGCCATGAAGCGCCAATGGTAAATATTTAAAATAAAAACTACTGCCTTTAAATAATAAAAAAAGAAAAATACTCATGTAATGTTGTTTATAATTAATTATAGTATAGTTAATGATTAAAAACTATTCAAGCTAAGAAGTATTTCCATTTTGTCTATTCATAGGTGTAAGATATCAAGATACAAAAAAAAACATCTTAATTTTTAAATTTTCCAATTTAAGACTGCCGCCAGTAGGAAATTGTTTAATGATAAAGTAATATATTTTAAACAAGTCCAGTATCCTATCAAATATTTATTGTTTTTAAAGAAAGAATACTGTAATTTTGATAATTATCTTACTTGGAATATCTTCAGAAGCAAAAATATGATAGCTAAAATTTTTTTTTAATAAAACACCACTTAAAATATTGTCTTCTGCTGGTTTCTCAACGGCTATTTCTCCCATAACCTAAACATAAAATATTTATTATAATAAATTTAATTTAATTATTATATTATAATATGAATAAAAAAAATTAAATATACTTTTGCAGTTTTTTCCCCAGTAAAATAAAAATCCACTCCTACTGTATTCCGAGGGTTATAAACTTTAATATCTTCAGAGTTTTCTTCATATTCTCTAACCAAAGCAGATTTAAGCCTTTGCATTTCATTTTGTTCACCATGTACCAACACCTAGGTATAAGAAAAATGTAACATATAAATAATTTCTTCAAATATTTTTGTTTTAATAATTATTTGAGATAATTACAATATGGGGTGGTTTTAAAATGTTTATAAATTCTCGTGTTTGCTGATAATCTGTATGAGCTGAAAATGATATATAATCTACAGACATTTTCAATGGTAACTTTTGTCCAGTCATAGTTGTAATATCTTCAGGTTCAGATAAAATAGCCTTAGCTAGTGTTCCTTGTACCACATAACCTAAAATATTTGTATTAAATAAAATATTTATTATAATAGAACATATTATTCATTTTTATTTTACCGGCAATTATAACTCCATTTTTACTATCTGTACACCACATTTCAAAAAGCTCTCTAGAAAGACCACTTTCCATGACACCAGGCGATGCCATTATGACACAAGGACCAATATCTTCAAAATGATCAATGCTCTAAAATAATCAAATTTAATATTTGTTTTAAAATAGTACATTAAAAATGTAATTATTCCCTAGATTTGAAATAAAAAAATAGTAAAAGAGAGAAATGTTTCAAAAATTTGCATTCCTACTTCAAAATACTTAATAATTTAAATATAATTGCGTGAAAATTAAAAGAAAGACAATTAATATTATCTTTCATATTTATAAATATTAAGTTGAATTTAAAATGAGTCGTATTTAAATACTTAAGTTTTTTTTAAATATTGAAAATTTCATTGTTGAAGTTCTATGATTATTAAACTACTAATTATATAAATAAGTATAAACAACATACTTTAAGGTTAGTAATATGTTTAAAAACAAATGGATTATTAACAGCAATTTGACGTTTTATACGATCATTCATAGCATTAATATATGTCTGATATACAGCCATACATTTTTTAGCCAAAGAAGATGCATAATATATTGGAATATCGTGAAGTTCTGGATGAAGACCCCAATATTCATCTAAAATAAATAAGTAAAAACATGAATAATATTCTAATATGTAGAAATAAAAAAATATATTCTATTTACCTAATATTAACAATAATTCTTGAGCTCGTCCTAATGCAAAAACTGGAATTAAACACCTTCCACCTCGATTAACAATATCATTGACAAGCATAGTAAATCGTCGTTCACGTTCTTCACGTTTTTCATGAATATGAGTTCCATAAGTAGATTCCTTAAATAACAAAAATAATTATAAATTTGTAAATTTCTATTTCATTGATAGTAATTTACAGTAATAAGAATTTCCGGCCTTGAAGGTGGTATTTCAGCAGCCATTAAATGTCTGTCTTCTTGTCTTGAAAAATCTCCAGTGTATAAAACTTTAACACCAGCAATCTCAATCATAAACATTGCAGCGCCTAGTACATGGCCAGCATTATAAGCACAAAAACGAATACCTCCAACATCTTTTTCTTCGTGGAAATTTATTGTTTCTATACGATCCATGCTCTTTTCTAAATCAGCTTCAGTGTAAAGCATTTGTTCGGTTCCTATGTTGCTAAAATAATAAATTGTTTAATTAATCAAAACTTTTATTTATTTGCACACAAATATAACTTGATTCAATGTCAACAATATGACATATTGTCATATCTGTCTATTTATTTTAGTATGCAATAACATTTAACATAATATTTATAATGTAAATTTAAATAAATACAATAATAAATAGTAAATATAAATAAAAGTACCTAATTATATTGATGCATCTAATCTAATTTTCTTAATATATTATACATATACTCTTTAAGATCTGCGTGAAATAATGAATAAGTGAATAATATACTTGTATAAACAAAAACATAAAAAATACAATGTTCATTTCAAATGTTCTTAAAAACCTTATAACCAATATTAAATAGGTACACTTGAATTATTTATAGGTTTAACAAATATATTCCAAGGGAGGTAATCAAAATAAAAAAGTCACTAACCTAGATTTGGGAGGCGATTCATGAGCATCCCAATAAGTTACTAATTATTTATTACCCTTAATTGGAAAAAAAATAGTTACAGTGATATGTCTTTAATTTATATATTGTGTATATCTAAAATATCTTTGTAAAAAATAAATTACCTGACTTTTATGTAATCTGACAATAACCATCTATAAATGGCTTTAGTTGCATGAGTCATGTAACATTTTCCTTTGAATTTAGTCTTGAGTAAAAACCATGGTAATGCTCCACTGTGGTCCAAATGAAAACTATAATATAATAAAAATACATAATAATTGTAATTAATCATAAATAATTTTAGTTTTTTTTTTTTTTTTATAATTGTCTATTTTATTTACTGGGTAATTAAAAGTAAATCAATTTCATTTGCTTCAATGAGATCCACAAATGGCAATGCATCTAAACCTTGAAGACCTGGATGAATTCCACAGTCAAGCTAACAAATAATACAGTTGAGTTAAAAAATATATAAATTTATAAATAGAACTTAGGACTTACCATAATTTTTTTGCCTTTAAATTCCATAACAATACATGATCTGCCAACCTCTTGTCCAGCACCTCTAAAATAAAAAAATATTTTATAGCACTATATCAAATACATATCATTTAAATTAGTTTATATATATATTATAAATTCTTTAACAAAAGAAACACTTTATAATATATTATTATTTATTTTAACTAATAGTTAATTTGGTCACTTATTATTATATACTTAAAATATTCAAAAATTATTGATAAGATTAAAAACAACTCAAGTTACATTTTATTTTAAAATTTATATTTTTAAAACTTAAGTAGATAATTATGTATAAAATTATATTTTAAAAATTATACAAAATTAAATCATAATTTTGACAAATTATTATAAAAGGTTATAAATTTATAACTTAAAATTTAAAACACATGCAAAATATTATAAAATTGAATAAATTTTAAATTAAAATGTCTATAATAACATATTAAAATAATTTTTAAAACAATACATTATATTATCAACAAATATTACATCAATTATACAATATTTTTTGTAGACAAATCAATATAACCATAATTATTACATTTTCTAATGAGCTAGTTTAAAATATTGATCATAAATCATTAATATATATTCATTTCATAGATTCTATGAAAAATAATTACTTAAACTATTCATATTTCCATATTATCCATTTTTAAATCTGCATCATCTTCTTCATCACTACAAGGATTTGAATTTGGAACCTCTGCTTTAATATGATTATCTGAAAAAATTATTTTAGCAAGTTCTTCGCGATCTAGATTAGTAGACCAGTTTTCATATTCATCTCTAGCCACTTCAATTTCTGAGGAACACTCATATTCATCCTCATTTTGTTTATCTTCGTCAATTACTTCTTCCAACCTTCTCATAATTTGTTGTCTAGTAAAATCTAAATTGTCTTCCTCCATATAATTACTATATAACTTAATATGTTCATTTCCACAAGTAGGTAAATTACCAGCTAAATACATTTGCCATGCTCTTTCTAAATATCCGTACATAACATTTCTTATGTCTTCTATAAACTCTTTTTTAAGCCAACCAGCATGTTTACTACAAGTAGTTGATAGAGATACATTTTTAAGCATTTCTTTTACTTCAGGCAAATGTATATCACATAATTGATAGTTAGCAACAATTGATAAAGGAAATGAATTTGGAGAAAAATAGAATTGTTTTTCAGCAGTATTAGGATTATAATCTTCAATGTTGAACTTTGCTACTTTAGGATTAGACGAATTGTGATCATCAAACCATTGATTGCGAATCTCAATTACTTGATATATGTAGTTAGATGGATCATTTTGGTAGTTATACCCATGCCTGTAAAAAAAAAAGATGCATATTTAATGTATCCATTTCTATTTATAAAAAATAAAAATAAAAATCAATAAGAAATTTACCTGACCCACATGCGTCGAAAAGGTCCGGTAGTGGTAAAATAGGCAGTGGTCGGCAATAAGTATTTCATCTTTTCTTTATTTATAACTTTAGCAAAATGAAATAATGCCGGTTTTACCCAGATAGGCCTTTTTTCAAATAATCTATCCATCAATCTCTTTTCATCAGGCGAAAACATTTTTACAGTTAAACAATACTTTAATAAATCCAAAGGCATGGGTGGTAGCTCAGTATCCTCAAAACGATTATTCTTAGTAAAATTGCGTACATATGGTCTGAGTCTATGTTTTTTAGACAACATATCCAATTTTTTAAGATTTATAAGATCATAGAAATCTGTCTGAGGTTCATTGAATTTACTTAGCTTGCTAGGAAGTAATGTTAAAGGTACATCTTTTTCTAGAGCCCAATTTATATCCAATAATTTATTTGTTTGCCATAATTCAGAACAATTTGGCTTAGGTGGAAAATATGCAAAATCCACAACACTTGTAAAAGTAAAAGTTTTTTGTATACATCCAACTATGTTAGCGGGTAACACTTCTATAGGAATTTTTTCACCAGTTTTTTTATTTATTTTATATTTTGTCTTTACAGCAATCAACAATGAACGTTCATAATGTTTGTTCCCTGTGAGTGGTGGTCCAAATTCTGATTTTACTAAGTTGACAGATAATGTAGCTTCTGAATTTTCAAATGCATAAGTAATTTCATCGATACCTCCAAGTCTGTCAATAGCTTGTTCAGCATTATTAACAATACCAGGAAATATTACACAATTTAAAAGTTTTAGTTTAGAAGGACTAATAATTTTAGTTTCTTCAGACGATTCCATGATTCAAATATAATGAAACATAAACTAAATAATAATGATTTAATGGCTTACAGAGGTTTTATAGTAAGTTTATCATTTTCTTCTTCAGATATCTGAATTTCCTCAACCTTCTTATCTTGAACGGACATTTTTCCTAAATAAAATCAAATAAAAGACATAAAATAAACCAATAATAACAATAGTTATTTAATTGTAATGATGTAAATTTAATAAAAAGGAAAATACATTTTAACTTGTCTTTTATGTTTATTTAAAATTTAAGTGATAATTCTAAAATCTTTGAGGTTATATTAATTCGAACCGGTAAAGTTGTTGTAGTAACCACGGTCAACCAAAACCACTTTGATACCACAGCGATAATGCGTAAACAAGACAAACGAGTTGCGCAGCGATTTTGCCATTCCGATTTCCGATTATTCTGAATACAATAGATTATGTATAATAATACATTATTTAACGTAAAATTATGAATATATTTTCGTTTTGTTCTAAAAAGATTTGGAATAAACATTTTAATGAAAACTTGGTTACCAAAATAAATATTATTTTAAACAATCAATAAAATTTAATTGTGTTATAGATTATAGAACAAATTTTGAATTTTTGTTCCACAAAAAGGTACCTATTAAAGAATTTTTATGAAGAAACTCTAGCAATTTCAATTTAATTTAATACATTTTGATATTTAGAGAGAATAAATATTATTCGTATGTTCTGTATTTTTTTTTTTTGTGATTTTAATTTACAAAGTGTAGGTAATGATAATTTATAAATATTACAATATATACCAGACGATTGATTTATGTTTTATAACAAATGCATTCTAAGTAATTTTTTGGTTAAATGTAGTACACTGGTACGTATATATTAATTTTGACGGTAGTTTTGATTGCAAGCCATTTATACGTAGGCAGCTGAATATATAGCTATTTATATTTTTCAAAGAATAGCGATATTAACTATACTCAAAGAATTATAATGTAGGTACCTATTACCTATTAAGTATGAATGACTAACAATATTATTGTATAACGAGATATAAATTTGATTAAATATAAATATATGTATACTGAAGTGATGTACATAGGGGTAAGATAACAAGGTTTATTTATATCATAGTTATTTAGTTTTGTATACCTATAATGCCTTTTAAATTTCCACATTTATTTTCTGTTTGGACGTACGGTCAAAGTGACACAACAATAATAAATCAACTATGGTAATAATGTGAAAAATAAGAAAAAAATAATATAGTAGAAATAAAGTATAACTGAAATAGCTATGATGGGATATTGGGATATAATTCTACACTTATAAGTGTTAGAAAAATATAATCAAATATTCAAATAATAATTCAAATTATTACCTTCCTCCTGATCTTCGGAGGGTTCCCAAGGTTATGTCTCGACGTCTCGTTAAAGTGATCAAAATCACCGTTTTTGTTATTAATAAAACAATATAACATTTTTATTTTTTATACCAACCGGTTGGTAACCTTATGTCCCAACACCTCGCTAATCGCGGCCGACAACCGCCACATTCGTAGTAGTGGTCGCGGCACAACATAGGTATATATTTTTTTTTACCACAAAAAATACAGGTTTTATTTTCATTTAACTCTTTTTCTAATGACTGAATTTTGAGAAATTGTACACTTCCGGGAACTGATCCATTCTTCATATTTTCATTATTTTTTTTTCTAATTGAAAATGACAAGAAAAATAAACACACACACACATCATTAAAACCATTAAATTAATCGCTCTACTTAAATCTAAAATAAAGTAAATATATTTTATGAGAATCAATTCAGAAATTGTGAGAGTGACTATTGAAGTAAATGTAAAGGGAAAAGGGAGAAGGTAATACCGAAGAAATAATGTATAGATATAATGCAAAATAGAATATTAAATGGCAGAATTTATGGAGGAGTATGACAATGATGACCAAACCCTTAAAGTTTTAAAATGAAAAAAGGTTTCAAAGCTCTCAACTGTTTTGCTTTAACTACCTTTTACTAGGCTTACAACCTTAAACATAATTAACTTTAATTTTTTATCATGTTATATATTTATAGTTGTAAATAAAAAAGGTAAAAATTTGGTTGTTGGTTATTGAATTAAGTGTTTGATTATCAAGTTGTTGATCGTTGACAAAATTACAATAACTGTAATTCAAATATAATTAACTTGAAAATATTAGTAGAAGTAAAAGTAAAAAACAGTGTACAAATTTTATTTTAAAATAAGAACACAAAATGAAGCTAAATTCCTACATTAGTCGTTTGATTTTATTTTCAATACAAAGCAGACTACACGAATATTTTTGCAAAGTGCAGTCACTTCGTATACGTGGGAAAAATTTTATAGTGATAATATTATTATTATTCTATTTTCTTTTATTTTATTTTATTTTTTTTTGTATTTCTACTAACTCCATAACACTGAGACGTGTTTAATCCTAGATTACCCCTAAAGCATATTAAATATAATATCATACTTTATACACCGTGGTTATAATAATCATACCGGGTCACAATAAATGTCGCCTTAAAAAATTCGAAACAGGCGCGTTTGCAACAGGGTATATATGAAGAAGTTCACGTGGGAATACAGCATAAGAAGTTTCAACGGTTTCCATGGTTACGAGTAATAATATGGTTTCTGTATAGTAATGCTATTATAAGTGTTCGTCGGCTGTCACAAAGTTTAATGTCCTACAAAAAAATAAATGTCAAAATAAATACGGGAATGCAATACGAAATAATATGTTTTTCTTATGATACATGTATAAGTGTATAATGTACACGCAGTTGAGCATAATCTACAGTATTAGTGGTTATATAACAACAATAATATACTACTGTGATGTACGTGTATGCGATCGCCGATCAGTATTTTAGAACGCAAAATTTGGTGCGTAACATATGTTATTTTAGAGAATCGTTTTAGCGTGGATGCGTATAAGTAGTTGTACAATAAAAGCTCGGAAAGTGTTTTTTCACTTACTCTGCAGATTAATTCGTACGTGATTTTTGGCATTAAACGATATTTATCGACACATGTACACACACAAACTATATATATAGATAATACTTAATTCTCGATGTAAAAGCAACTAAGTGAGAAAAAAATGTTGACGCATTTTTTTTTTTACTTTCTTAAAACTTTAACAACATCATATATGACCTAAGAATGGCTGGTTTGAAAAACATCTTAAAAAAAATATTATTTAAGTGCGTTTTTGCTTAGATTACCTCTAATTAAAAATATACTTTACTAGTAGTTATAATCACTGCACTGGTTGTATTATTAACTTGTAGCGCATATTATTAGCTAGTAATATTTATTACCAATTATTTTGTTTAGTTTTTGAACAGAGTTTTAGTTAAATTTTGAGATTGGTAATTATTTATTTAGAATGTACATGTTTCATTATTATTCGAGGATAAATTATTATAAAATTATTTATGTTTTTTTTTTAAATATAAAAAAATACTACAATCATAAACTACCCAAAAAATATCTTGCTAAAAAATGTATTCAACTTTGATGACTTAAAAATAGACATTTTCCAATACATTTTAAAAATATCTAACTTCTATTGTATTAAATTTGTTCTTTTATAATCGATTAAAAAACATCGAATATACACGAAATCAACATTTTTTCTTATTAACGCTTAAATTTAAAATGTTAACGAAACTTGTCAAATTCGAGAAAATTCACTTACTATTTTACTTACTTTTTACATATAATTGAAAAATTCAAAATAATTTTTTTCATAAGTTTTATTTAAAAAGATTAAAAAAAAAAGTTTTGCATAAAACCACATTAATTTTACTTAGGAGTTTAATTTAAAAATTCATCAAATATGTTAATTATTTTGTAGACATAAAGATCGATTATTTTTATAAGTGGACCAAAATTCAAAATACTCCATAAATTACAGTTGAGCATCAGAGCACTTAAAAGAATTTTTCCTCAACATCAAAATACTTCTACAAATTATTGCTACGTTAATAGTTTCCACAGCCACAGCAAAGGGATCTTTCTCAACTTTAAGATAGTTGAAAAATTACTTACGGTTCACTATCTCTGGAAAATATTTAAATGGCTTATCTATATTAAATATACACAAAGTGATATATATAAATAAAGTTATTGACATCTTCGCTTAAAAAATGGGTTAAAATGGAGTTGGTAAATATTGATAAAAATGACAAAAAAATTGTTATTTATTTATTTTTATTAGTTATAATACATTTTTTGTTGAAACATTAATTTTTTTTATTACAGTGTTAAAATTTTCTAAAAAAAGGAATTTGTTTTTCAAGTTTTCACCCTTTGAATATAAAACATTTATTTTGAGAACTAAAAAGGGGTCTTGCCATTAAGATGGAATACACAGAACACGAAACCTTAACCTTAGCACCAACCTAAAAAAATCTTGAAAATCATAGACCCGCCACTAGATGCAAATAATATTTGCAATATATTAGAGTGGATACCTCTCACATTAATAATAATCACTTTCTGTGGTATATCTCCAAATAAGAAATTATACAAAAACATTTTTTTCCTTGAAAAAAAAAATATTTTGATATTTTGAATGTTTTTTTTTTTGAAAACATATTACTCTTGTTTTACCTATTTTTATAGTATCAAAATTGCGAAATAAGATGGTTAAATTTACGAAAATCTAGTTTATATAGTTACTTCTCATTTGGTATTGGTTATTCTATCATACTTTAAAGAATGATAACCGTAGATTTAAACTATTCAATGATTTTTGAATAAGGAAAATTATTTGATATTGTATGTTTGTCTTATTGTTTTAAATAAAGTAATTACCTATAATCATATTTAAAAATATATTTGAATATATTTCGGATAATTATCCGTGATCGAGCACGAATAAAAATATTACACTTACATATGCATAAGATATATTACATCAGCTTTGCAACCAGGGAGATTCCGGGTCCAGACCCCCTTCCCCTTGTATCGTGTCTCATGTCTCAATTTTATGATAAAATACTTGTTTTTATAAACAATTAATTAGCAAAATAAAAGGGTCTTCCTTTTATTTTTATTTTACATTAATCTTAAAATAAAATTTAAATTTGCTTACTACTTAAAGTAACATTTTTTTTTTTTGGCCCCTTCCCCTTACAAAAATCCTGGTTGCGCCACTGTATTCATC